AGAGTTGAACTCTAGTAGCCACTACAGAGATCATATTTTCATTATGTCCAGATCCTCTTAAGTTTTATGCAATCTTCAGATGTATATATATCCTTCTCATAAGGTTTGCATCATCGGCGAACATTGAGAGGAAGGAATGTATCTCCCTCTGGTATGTCGTTTATATAGATTTGGAATAGAATCAGCCAGAACTGAACCTTGTGGAACGCCACTGCTAATATCCCGCCACGCTGAGGTCTCTCCTCCCACTGTGACTCTTTGTTTTGTGTCGTAGAGGTACTCTTTTTATCTACTGGAGTACCTTCCCTGTCACTTCTACCTGTTTCACTATTAGACAGGGACTATTTTGTACAATAGTCTCCTGTGGAGTACAGTGTCGAAGACTTTCTGACAGTCTAAGATGTACAATCCGCCCACTCTTCTCTGCCTGGTCTGACCTCAGTCGCTTATTTATATAACTATTAAGTTCATTGGGCAGGATTGCCATCTCTGGAAGTATGGTGGTGTTGTGACATAAGGAAACCATCTAAATTGAACTGTGTTCACGAAACTAGTGATAATGTTTGAAGTTATGGGCGGCTCTTGACCAGCGGGAACTGACTATGTGTCTTGGTTTAATAAGTCTGCCGCCTGGGTCTGTGCGTTACATATGCGCCTCCAACTCAATTTAAAAAATAATCTTACTTAGAGGAGAAGAATTCTCAGGATAGAGGTTAATGACGGATATGAGTGCCATACTGGTGCCAAGCTGACGGCTCTGGTGAAACAGATGAAACACTTAAATACATTAGAGAATATTTTTCACTCAATGGGTTATAACCTTTTGGAACCACCTACCCGTCGAAGCCTTAAGTCGCTGGATATTACTTGAGCTTAAAATTCAGCTGGAAGAAATTCCCATAAATAATGGGGAATTTTTGACAAGTCGCCGGCTTCCTGTCCCCGTCGAGGCCACTAAAGCTGGTCGTTTTCAGGTAAATTAAGGTAAAGAACCTTATAGGTCATGTAGCAGAAGTTTGCTACAAGACTGGTCGGTGATCGTAGAGGACTCAGCTCTGAGAAAAGGTCGAGGGGGACTAGACTTCACCAGTATGGCAAGGACAACAGGCGACATGATTACGACGTATAAGATTCCAGGTGGATAAAGATGAAAAGTTTAGCATGAATATAGACAAGACGAGAAGACATGGCTGGACACTAGAAGCTCTGACGAGCCACACTCCAGGTAAAAGAGAGCGTCTTGACTGCAAGAATGGCCAAGATGAACGAGGTACAAGCAAGGCTGTTGTTATAGATTCAGCTACTCGGAACAGGTTCCAAGTAGCACGGGCTATGGTGAGCCCGTAACGTACCTGGCACAGGAGCGGGGCAAATAGCACGGGCTATGTTGAGCCCGTAGTGGACTTACCTGGCGCAGGACTGGTGCCGTCTCTCTGACTGACAAGCAAGGCAGTACTGTCTAGTTTTATCTAACATTGTAAAGACGATCTGGGACAGAAAGCTCGGGCTAAGGAGCTGAAGCTCGCCGTACTGCCACATATAGGTGAGTACAGACATACTAGTCCCAGAATTGAAGGGCTCGAGTTATTGGTATGTACTGAGGGGAATTAACATAATGATACATCAGGAAAGGGGAAAATAAAAGGGGACATTGTCCAGACATACAAAATACTTACGGGTTTCGGTCTAATAGATAGCTACAGACATGCAAACCAGCCATTGAGATGTTGTAACAAAAAATGTATAGGAAATATTTTTGAGAATATATATGTGGAAGCCTTCAATGAACTAATGTATAACATATGTATTTTGGGGAAGGAAAGGGTATTGGTATGAACAATTATAATGCTTATAATTAACATTTTAAAATTACAGTGATCATAATGAATAAGTATAATGATTATAAATAATATTGAATAATTATATTAATTCAAATTATTATTTAATAACCTTAAATCTACACTTGAATGAGAAAACATCATATGCGACCTTATGTTACTTTTTACTAATCTAATTAATACTTATTTTTTAAGCGTAAAACTCCTGGTTCTCGAACCCCCACAAAGGAGTACTCTGACTCCCTCCACCTCGAGCACACAGTTTGGGAAGGACTTACTCTAAGGCTCACTGGTATACACTCTCATGTGTTACACCTTGAGTGTACACGCCTCAATATTTATCACATCCGGGAGAGAACCGCGAATATATATATATATATATATATATATATATATATATATATATATATATATATATATATATATATATGTCGTACCTAGTAGCCAGAATTCACTTTTCAGCCTACAATGCAAGGCCCGATTTGCCTGATAAGCCAAATTTTCATGAATTAATATATTTTCTCTAATTTTTTTCTTATGAAATGATAAAGCAACCCATTTCATAATGTAAGAGGTCAATTTTTTTTATTGGAGTTAAAATTAACGTAGATATATGACCGAACCTAACCAACCCTACCTAACCTAACCTAACCTATCTCTATCGGTTAGGTTAGGTTAGGTAGCCGAAAAAGTTAGGTTAGGTTAGGTTAGGTAGGTTAGGTAGTCGAAAAGCAATTAATTCATGAAAACTTGGCTTATTAGGCAAATCGGGCCTTGCATAGTAGGCTCAGAAGTGAGTTCTGGCTACTAGGTACGACATATATATATATATATATATATATATATATATATATATATATATATATATATATATATATATATATATATATATATATATATATATAACTGAAAACTCACACCCCAGAAGTGACTCGAACCCATACTCCCAGAAGCAACGCAACTGGTATGTACTTGCTTGCTCGCATGTATGCTTGCTCGCAGGCTTGTTCGCATATATATATATATATATATATATATATATATATATATATATATATATATATATATATATATATATATATATATATATATATATATATATCCAAACCTTGTAGCACAGTATTGTATATCATCAACTTACAACTGATGATTCAGGGTTCGATTCCTAGGTGGAATAGAGCCGGTTGGGCAAGTTTCCTTTTACCTGAGGCCTCTGTTCACCTAAATAAGTACCCGGGAATTAGACAACTGTTGTGGGGGCTGCATCCCGGGGAAGGGCAGTACATGACCCTTGGCGGACCTTGACAGGCCTAACATGTTCCCTGTCCACCAACAATGGGGGTCGAACCATACGATGAATTATGTGAACGGTCCACTTAGCCTATTACTGTTAGGTAAGCACACGCCATTTTCTTTGGAAATGTTTGGCGGGTGACGAAGCAGCTAATGTCTCTCAAGCACCTTTGTCTAAGGTCCTTTGTCGTTGATACAAGACACAAGTGTTCATTCTCCTGCCTCGACTTGATGTGGCTGAGGCAAAGGAGTGTTTTTTTCTCCTCCTCAGTCGGTTTTGAGCACCATGTAGGTCGGTTTCACAAGAGTTTCCTGTCAATAGGCCAGACGGCGTGGACTAATGTAAAAAAAAAAAAATACGTAATGAGATTCAGGTAAATATCGAATTATCTTGTGATTAGATTAAGGTAAAATAATGTGACTAGATTTCAATAAGTATAGATTGATTATTATTCTGAAACTCCAAGTTCTTAAAGAAGGGAAAATCACTTAAGTGCATGGAATTATAACAGTTTTGTACGCCTAGCGACATCTGTTGGCCACCTGGGCCCGTCTGTGGGTCTCTCTCTCGGACCACCATAGTCACCCTAACTGTTCAATCATGGATTTAAATACCATAAGGAAGTCAAACTGTCTGAGGCAGACACGCTCATCACCTGGTCAACATGGGTCAAGGCGAGATGTACTACTTGTACTTCTAATCTACACAACTGAAGGAAATTATACCAGTGTTATTAAATATTTCAGTGCGGTTACCTTTTGGTTATTAATAACCTAATAAAAAGGTTAAATTCTGAGACAGCTGCCAGAAGGAAATTGATAATAGTCAAGATGTTTGGAAGGTGGAGGCGGAGGGTAGTGAACCCTGGCTGAGGGCTGCAGGTAGGTTCCTCAACGGAGACTTTCGGCCTATACTATATGGTTAATGACAAGTGTCCCTCTAAGTGTCATTTAAAGGGTCGCCAAGGGTCTCCACTGAGGCACCCTGGGTCACATTTGATATATTACGGGTCAAACATTGTTATTGCCTACAGTACATCAGTAGACGAAACAGCTAGGGAATGGCCATTTTGTTGTATTAACTGAACAATATGGTTCTAAAATGCTCATAAATAGCTAACAATCTATATATATGTCTGTTCCTCCGTGGCAGTGAGCAGGAACTGCGGCATGATCTCCCACACTACACCACCGAATGCCCAGTTATTAGACCTTTCAGACCAGTTGGCATGAGGTACCTGGAGCTTTGTAATTACTTTATTCACTCTCGTGTTCTTGAAGATATCCTCATATTGCACCCAAAATTTGCCAGTGTAGGCTACTGAACATATGGCCCTGTATGACTAACCATCCTAGTCGGTCGGGGAGTGGGAGCCGGTCGGCCGAGTGGACAGCACGCTGGACTTGTGATCCTGTGGTCCTGGGTTCGATCCCAGGCGCCGGCGAGAAACAATGGGGAGAGTTTCTTTCACCCTATGCCCCTGTTACCTAGCAGTAAAATAGGTACCTGGGTGTTAGTCAGCTGTCACGGGCTGCTTCCTGGGGGTGGAGGCCTGGTCAAGGACCGGGCCGCGGGGACACTAAAAAGCCCCGAAATCATCTCAAGATAAACTCAAGATCCTGCGAGATGGGGACTTTTAGTACCACTATTACCTTATTCACTCTTGTGTTGATGATATCCTCATAATGTACCCAGAGTCTGCCAGTGCAGACTACTGATCACATGCCTCTGTATGACTAACCATCCTGTGTGATGGGGATTTTTTAGCATCACGTAGCTAGCTTTTTGACACGCTGTACTCCCCTTCATATAGTCTAGGGCAGCTGCACAAATGTAGATGTACCTAATGTATTAATAAAGAAAAAAGGATGGCTCCTGATGGATATTCTCCCCTCGGCTCAATGGTGAGGAACGTGATTGGTTCGTGGAGCGGAGGTTCTGACCGCCGCCGCCAGTGTCCGAGCACAGGTAAGAGCAAGGTAGGCCCGGGATGTAAACATCTTTGTTTTTTGTTGTCCATTATCTCTACAGTCGAGCTTTTTCAACGCCCAACAAAGGGCCCATCGAGGCATGGAGCGCAGTCGTCAAAGGCGTGCCGGTGAGAGGTACGGAGTGTTGGTCCACTCTGAGGTATATAAGACGCCCACCTGCCGAAGGAGTACATCAGTTCTTCCGCTAACGTCGCCGTCATGAGCTGGAAATCTGTGGTCCTTGTGAGTGTTTCTTTCTCGGGTCTGATGACTCCCATAACTGGTTGTTGAGTGCTAAAATGACATATGATTTAGGCGTTTACATGTAGATTAGAATTAACATCACGCTTGAAATTGCATATGACCCTGGTGTAAACTAGGAATTAATCTATGGCTTAAGGATAAGCTATGGATTAACAGAGTTAAACAATGACTACTTACGCTGTATAATTCACCAGGTGGTATTTGTCAACTTGCCCAAGTTCTGAATACTCGTGAGATGGGACAAATCTTAAACATAAGTTCATTATTTACAATTTGCCTCGTCTGGGAACCAACTTAGAATTATCGGTTAACAAGGAAATCAGAACTTGACTCTTACACAGTTGATACTAGGCCACCTTTCTCCCCTCCCTCATATATATCTCTATCTCTCACTCACTCTCTGTCTCTCTCTCATTCTCTATTACCCCCACCTCCTCCCTATCACTTTCTCTGCCTTTTCTTTCCTCTTGTGTTCAGTGAACACTGCCAGCTCCCCCCCCCTCCCCCTCCCCTCCTGCACACGGTGAAGACCTCCCCCCACCGGTGGCGACCCCCGCCCAGAGAACCCAGTATTACCCCCCTCCCTCACACGACCCTCCCACCGGGTCTTCTCACACGCGTGTGGCGCTCTACCACAGTACAACCACAGTACAACCACAGTACAACCACGAAACAACCACGGTACAACCACAGTACAACCACGCTACAACCACGGTTCAACCACAAAACAACCACGGTACAACCACAGTACAACCACGCTACAACCACGGTTCAACCACAGTACAACCACAAAACAACCACGGTACAACCACAGTACAACCACGCTACAACCACGGTGCAACCAACACTAATATCCCAAAACCAATAAGTACACACACCTCCATTGCTGGGTCGTCCATAGATTGAAACCCCCAGGGAGTGATGGGAAGCCCTGGCTCAAACTAACCCACCACCAGGTGGAGTGGGATCAAGGGTGGATAACTGGAGCGAATTCTGACAAATGAATATCATTTATCAAATGAATATCTGACAAAAGAATATGATAATAGATGTGGGATGGATACATGTCAAAATGAAATAAAAAGGGAAGATACTGACAGGAACCGATGATACGGTTCAGACAAGGCAATATATCTGTGGCAGCAGCGCAAACGTCAGCTAGTTCCTCACTCCACTTCTTCTGTTCCTCCACAGACTGTCAGCCTCGGCGCGGCCCTCGTCACCGCCGGCTACGTCCCGTAAGTACCTCCGGCAGGAGCAACACGTGTGCTAGAGGGCGCTGAGGGCATGCTAAGGGCACCAAGGTGTGCTGAGAGCTAGTAGAGAGCTACTAGGAGCTAGTAGAGGGCATCAGGCAGCACCGAGAGCTAGTAGAGAGCCACTAGGAGCTAGTAGAGGTCATCAGGCAGCACCGAGAGCTAGTAGAGAGCACCAGAACCACTAGGAGCTAGTAGAGGGCATCAGGCAGCACCGAGAGCTAGTAGAGAGTCACTAGGAGCTAGTAGAGGTCATCAGGCAGCACCAATAGCTAGTAGAGAGCACCAGAACCACTAGGAGCTAGTAGAGGGCATCAGGCAGCACCGAGAGCTAGTAGAGAGCCACTAGGAGCTAGTAGAGGTCATCAGGCAGCACCAATAGCTAGTAGAGAGCACCAGAACCACTAGGAGCTAGTAGAGGGCATCAGGCAGCACCGAGAGCTAGTAGAGAGCCACTAGGAGCTAGTAGAGGGCATCAGGCAGCACCGAGAGCTAGTAGAGAGCACCAGAACCACTAGGAGCTAGTAGAGGGCATCAGGCAGCACCGAGAGCTAGTAGAGAGTCACTAGGAGCTAGTAGAGGTCATCAGGCAGCACCAATAGCTAGTAGAGAGCACCAGAACCACTAGGAGCTAGTAGAGGGCATCAGGCAGCACCGAGAGCTAGTAGAGAGTCACTAGGAGCTAGTAGAGGTCATCAGGCAGCACCAATAGCTAGTAGAGAGCACCAGAACCACTAGGAGCTAGTAGAGGGCATCAGGCAGCACCGAGAGCTAGTAGAGAGCCACTAGGAGCTAGTAGAGGTCACCAGAGAGCACCAAGAGCTAGTAGAGAGCCACTAGGAGCTAGTAAGTTTTGATTTGATTTGGTCTTTGACCTTCAGACCAACCTTATTATTTATTTGCACTTTTTAACAGTTAATTAACATACATATTGAACAGTTTAACACCAATTATTGCATATGGTGACTGGGTGTTAAGGGACCCCATCTGTGACCCCGCATTTGACCTGCCCTGTGTGACCTCTCCCACAGTCAGGTGGGGAGCGGGGGTCACGTGGGAGCCAGCGGGAGCTACGGAGGCGCCGCGGCGGTGTACCATGGTGTTCAGAGCGCCTACAGCGGCTATGGTGGCGGCGGCGGCATCGGCTACGGCCACGGTGGCACCTCTTACTACGGTCCCAGGTGAGGCACTCCTCAGGTGAGGCACTCCCCAGGTGAGGCGACGTCAGGTGAGGCAGTCCCCAGGTGAGGCGACGTCAGGTGAGGCAGTCCCCAGGTGTATCAGTCCCCAGGTGAGGCAGTCCCCAGGTGAGGTAAAGAACGTGGCTGTAGCAACGTCAGACGGCGCCCTTGGGAGTAGCGGGGGATCGAACCCTCGCACCAAACTCACACGTCTGGGAATAAGAGAACTCGTGACGTTTCGGTCCGTCCTGGACCTTTATCAAGGCGTGTAATGGACTTGATAATAGTCCGGGACGGACCGAAACTTCGACTTTTTGTTTATTTTGAGATGTGTGTGTGGGTTGGGTGTCAAATTTTCAGCCCCGTTATTGTGATTTACTGTCCACTTGACCACAACACTTACAATTGAACGGTATTTGATCCCACTGTTTGATCCCACTATTTGATCCCACTGTTTGATCCCACTATTTGATCCCACTGTTTGATCCCACTATTTGATCCCACTGTTTGATCCCACTGTTTGATCCCACTGTTTGATCCCATTGTTTGATCCCACTGTTTGATCCCACTGTTTGATCTCACTATTTGATCCCTCTGTTTGATCTCACTATTTGATCCCACTGTTTGATCCCACTGTTTGATCTCACTATTTGATCCCACTGTTTGATCTCACTATTTGATCCCACTGTTTGATCCCACTGTTTGATCTCACTATTTGATCCCACTGTTTGATCTCACTATTTGATCCCACTGTTTGATCCCACTGTTTGATCCCACTGTTTGATCCCACTGTTTGATCCCACTATTTGATCCCACTGTTTGATCCCACTGTTTGATCCCACTGTTTGATCCCACTGTTTGATCCCACTGTTTGATCCCACTGTTTGATCCCACTGTTTGATCCCACTGTTTGATCCCACTGTTTGATCCCACTGTTTGGTTCTGGTTTACATTTACGTATTCTTTCACGTCACAGTCTTTATTCTTACAGTAAATTCGTATAATGTGATCCAATAGCATATATTCAAACAGGAATGGATCCCGTAGTATATATTGAGACAGGAGTCGATCCCATGGCATCTAATGTTACAGTACTTATAGCTGCATCGTTTTCCACCCAACAACCGACATTAATTAACACTTCGATGCTCAGTATCTTGGGATTTGGTTCCATAATATTGGGATCATAACTGTGCTTGATCAGAACAGCTGGTGATTGGTCAAATAACAATTTTGTAATTGTAGAGTATCACAATGGTATTTAAATCCCGAGGCATTGAGCTCTGTAGTGGAGTAATGCTTTGGTGTGTAAAGCACATAGTGTGTACTTAACATAGTGTAACATAGTGTAGTACTATGGTGGTAACGCCATGTGTTCGAGCCCACGTGACTGCTCCTCACACCTCCTTCACTCCCCACTTGTAGTTACTTCGTGGCTCCCTCCGGCAACTACCACGGCGGCTACTTCGGAGGCAACACCGGCCACGGCGTCTATCTTAACCACGGCGGCGGCTACGGTGGCGGCCACGGCGGCGGCTACGGCGGCGGTCGCGGCGGCGGCTACGGCGGCGGCCACGGCGGAGGGTAAGAAGCTTCTCTTTACCTTCTAATTATACCGCTATTTCAGATCAACTCGGACACTAGAACATTCAAGGAATCAACTGTTAGGTGTTCCAGGAAAGTCTAGAGAGGACCTATCGTGTACAATCTTTGGCGGCTTTGTTTATAATTATTTAACAGTTAATGAGCTCCGAAGCACCAGGACCTTAAATAAGACTAAAAATAAATTGTTAAAAAAATAACACTGAATCTAAGCCGCCACGATTGAAGAAAGATGCACAGGTTTCGTAAATAGACTCTTAAATACGTGATGAATCGTGCTCAATAATACAGCTGTAGTCTAAAGGAATACAGCCGACGCTGCACAGATCATCTTGTTCTTTGGACCAAGTTTTGAGAACAATATACATCATAGTAACTCTGGTCCTCTTGCTGTGCCACAACGTACACAGTACAGCGTACTAACCTAACCAGGAACGTACGAACCCAAGCAACCCACCTAACCTCATCTGCCAAATCATAGAAGACGTGGATATTTGTGAGCCGCTGCTGTCCATATTACTCTGTAATTTGCACGTTAGGGACCGAAACGTACAAAATGCGACGTGTTACGTGAGAAGGGGGGTGGGGGAGGGGTCCGGAATCTGTAGTAAATGTATAGCATGGGTTTACTGGTGTACTGGGCGGGGCAAGGGTAAACCCGAGGCTATCAGGCACAGTCACTGTATTTGTCCACGCTGTATAGACCGACTGGTATACATCTCAGTGTATATGGGCTACACCCATACATATACATAGTATGTGTATAATGTTCTTCATTTTGTTAATTCGTTAATATCCGAAAGTTCTTCACCGATTGCTTTGCAATCTTGACACAATGTTCCATTCGAATACGCGTGTGTTTTTATATACCTACTATATACGTGTCAAACTTGAGACACGTAAATCCATGTTTTCATGTGAGGGAATGGTGGAGAGGACGAGGGGGGGGAGAGGGGGATGGTGGGGGAGGACAGGGGAGGGGAAAGGGGGATGGTGGGGGAGGACAGGGGAAAGGGGGATGGTGGTGGAGGACAGGGGAAAGGGGGATGGTGGGGGAGGACAGGGGAAAGGGGGATGGTGGGGGAGGACAGGGGAAAGGGGGATGGTGGGGGAGGACAGGGGAAAGGGGGATGGTGGGGGAGGACAGGGGGAAGGGTTGCTGTGGCTCAGCAACGCGGACTCGTTGCTGAGCCACAGCAAGGCGTGGCCGGGTACAGCTAGTATATAATCAAATCTGAGGGCGTAAACAGCGCTAACCAAAGATTACCAAATGAAGGCGCCAAGTTGGGAGGCGCAAGAACCAAGGAATCTTACAGAAGACCTAAACTAACCCATATGCTGCCGCTCCTATGTATGTCCGCCCAAACTCATTCATATATGTTTAGCCTACGCTCGAAACAACTCAGCGAATCCCATCCCTACCCCCTTCACCCCCGGGTTACTTTCGAAACCAGTATTTACCCCAGGTCTTTCCTGATTGTAAACGTACCCAATTCATACGCAGTTTAATCCTTTCTTTTTCTCTGTATATTGTAATTGGATTAGTGTTATTGTCGTGTGTATTAAGTTCTTCACATCCCTCCTCAGATACGGTCGCTAAGTCTTCGTGGAGTGACGGAGCCCCGGCACGCTCACCCTGGCAACAGTCATGCTCCAGTCTACAGGGGAGCGTGGGGAGTCATGCTCCAGTCTACAGGGGAGCGTGGGGAGTCATGCTCCAGTCTACAGGGGCAGAGAGAGTGTATAGGTGACTTAAAACGGATTATCAACGTGTCTTCATTTCTTGGTGCACGACTCGGAAGTTCTGGCTGGCGACGCTGCGTCGGGGATCGAACCACTCGACACTAAGCTGTATAGTATTACCATTAAGGGGAAAAATAAAGAGGAATGTGAGAAAAAAAACAATTAGTTTTATCATCATATTTGTGTAAAAAGTTATATATTTATGGTCATAAATATATTGCATTATCATGAGAGCTGAACTAATGTCAAGATCAATAAATTATTTACACCGAAGCAATTACTGCATATATCTATATAATATCATGTCTGTCTGTTTGATCGTGGTTATGAAGCCAGACGCTCGGGGCTAGCCTCATTAAACCTTGCAGGGTGACAGGTGGGGGGTGGGGGTGGTTGGGAATTTCGGTCTCATTGCTCCTTTTAAAGAATTCGACTCCTATGGTTACCCCCCTACTGTCAGCCTGCCACATATAGCACTGTCAGCCTGCCACATATAGCACTGTCAGCCTGCCACATATAGCACTGTCAGCCTGTCACATATAACACTGTCAGCCTGCCACATATAGCACTGTCACCCTGCCACATATAACACTGTCAGCCTGCCACATATAGCACTGTCACCCTGCCACATATAACACTGTCAGCCTGCCACATATAGCACTGTCAGCCTGCCACATATAGCACTGTCAGCCTGCCACATATAGCACTGTCAGCCTGCCACATATAGCACTATCAGCCTGCCACATATAGCACTGTCAGCCTGCCACATATAGCACTGTCAGCCTGCCACATATAGCACTGTCAGCCTGCCTGGACCACCGCCAACAACTGACTGAAGAGAATGACTGCCACGTACGTCAGACCAAGTGACACCAACGCATCAATATCCACTACAGAAGAGGCCACTTCTCCATTTAAACCATCGATCAGTGCAGGCGAATTTATTAAAGTAACGAGCATGGCCGCCTCATCCATATTAGGCTGTGCAATAATAATGGGCGGCCGTCAAGAGGAGGAATATATGCCGCGGCACCGTGCCTGGCAGGGCCAATATCGCTGCCGCCATCTGTTGGCCACAAACGACACTTTGATGAGTCGGAACCAATCGTCTCATCGCACTTTGATGACGTCATGTTGAGCCGATAATTGAACACCTATTACTATATGACAATTTATCTAGAGATTGAGGTATATAGGGACTGGGGGGATATATATAACTTTTTCCCTGCATCAAATGTTGATGAAAAGTAATTGTATCGAGAGTTGAAGCGTGTGCGTTTGTTGATAAACTTAGAAAAAACAAAAGAGGGTTGTGTTTACAATTCTGGAGCCACCTTGGTAATCCGGTAATGACCGCGGGCGTCCAGGCGGGCGACGCCGGCGGCTCTCCTGCCCGCACTCACCCCGGAATTTATCAGCGTGAAAGATTTAATCTGTTTTAAACACACCGCGGCTCGAGAGTTGCTTTCAGCGCGGCCACCGCTGTTCATTTGTCATTGGTGACGTCACTAGGCGGGTGACAAATTGGCGGCGGGTTTAGCGGCCGTCAAGAGTGGCGTCATTGTTCCTGACAAATTGTTGCCAGCTGACGCCGCCCACAGCGTCCTGCAGTACGATAACTCCTACATATATACACCCAACAAATTATCCACAATTAATAACAGTACACAAACGACTATTTTCCCCCTAACCACACGATTCCCAATATATTTAATACATATACAATATATAAAAAAAATTACAATTAATAGGCAAATAACGTTTGACAAAAATGATCGCTGGCAACTTCCTTTGAGTGTAAACAATGCTAGACGCATTAGGCGCAAGAGCGATTATCCTGCGTAATGCGGCGAGAGACCCGACTTTAAGGTGTAGCCCTAATGACTAGATAATCGGGTGGTTGAGGGTCCATCACAGTGGCGAGGTAATCACCAGACGTAATAGGGTTGTAATGGCTGTAGTCTATGGATTTCTCAAGCCGAACAATAAGACAGGATCCCAGAGGTACACGTGTCGGTAATTACTGGTTACCTGGGGTGGTCTCTCTCACCTGACACGGCCGCTATCACACCTGACACGGCCGCTATCACACCTGACACGCCCGCTCGGACACGGCCGCTATCACACCTGACACGGTCGCTATCACACCTGACACGGCCGCTATCACACCTGACACGCCCGCTATCACACCTGACACGTCCGCTCTCACACCTGACACGGCAGCTCTCACACCTGACACGGTCGCTATCACACCTGACAAAGTCGCTATCACACCTGACACGGCCGCTATCACACCTGACACGGTCGCTATCACACCTGACACGGTCGCTATCACACCTGACACGGTCGCTATCACACCTGACACGGCCGCTATCACACCTGACACGGCCGCTATCACACCTGACACGGCCGCTATCACACCTGACGCGGTCGCTATCACACCTGACACGTCCGCTCTCACACCTGACACGTCCGCTCTCACACCTGACACGGCAGCTCTCACACCTGACACGGCCGCTATCACACCTGACACGGCCGCTATCACACCTGACACGGCCGCTCTCACACCTGACACGGTCGCTATCACACCTGACACTGCCGCTATCACACCTGACAGATTTACATATGTCTAGTTTTCTCCAAACACAAGTCATTGTCTTTAAGTAATTGCTATCATACAACCTTATTAAACTTATTACTAAACTTATTAACTAATAGGAAGGTTATTAAAGCCTATCAACCTCTGGAGGGTTATTAAGGCCCATCAACCTCTGGAGGGTTATTAAGGCCCATCAACCTCTGGAGGGTTATTTAGGCCCATCAACCTCTGGAGGGTTATTAAGGCCCATCAACCTCTGGAGGGTTATTAAGGCCCATCAACCTCTGGAGGGTTATTAAGGCCCATCAACCTCTGGAGGGTTATTAAGGCCCATCAACCTCTGGAGGGTTATTAAGGCCCATCAACCTCTGGAGGGTTATTAAGGCCCATCAACCTCTGGAGGGTTATTAAGGCCCATCAACCTCTGGAGGGTTATTAAGGCCCATCAACCTCTGGAGGGTTATTAAGGCCCATCAACCTCTGGAGGGTTATTAAGGCCCATCAACCTCTGGAGGGTTATTAAGGCCCATCAACCTCTGGAGGGTTATTAAGACCTCCTCAATAACTTACTCACTAACTAGCAAGTATACATTAATCCAGAACATGGATCAACACTAAAGAAAACTCATAGAGTTTACATAGAG